AATTTCAATGCGAATTTTTAATATTGTAATTATTAATGTTTGCAGAATTTATGAACATGTGTTTAATGATTTCAAATAAAAATATTTGCTTCAATTTATATATATTTTTTCTGTGCTATCACAAATATGACATATATTTTATACTTACTCTCTTTTTGATCGAATTCTGTTTCTATTGCTTGATCCCTATCTGACATGGGTAATTCTATAATTTCTGCTGCCACAACACTTGCAAGTGCTTCTTCTCTAGCCCATACTAATTTATTATGTTGTAACATTGCAACACTGTAATCTTCTGAAGCTAATAAATGACGACAAGTAACACCTTTTGTTTGTCTAGGACAAACAGAAGCCATAATTGTTGGTGACAGTAATAAATTATGTGTTAAACTAGTAGACAAATTTGGCATAGATTTCGATGTAAAGAGTTCTGAAGCAACAATTTCTGTTACCTAAAATTAAATCATTTTTATAATCATTATTAAATAATATTTAGATATTTCCTATGATACACAGTTAAAGTATAAAATACATACTCCGTTTCTATATGTTGTTTCAAGAAGAACTTTCTCGTTATCAACTGAAACAACATAGAGCATAGCATCTCCAGCTATATCTCTTTCAATAAGTTTAGATGCCTTCCCAACAAGAAGAATTCGTTTCGTTTGGTTCCCGTCTGCACTAACTACTACAACGGGTTCTTCACCAGGCACTGCTTCTAAGTGATATGGACCTTGTGTAGCAAAATTTGCTTTAACTGGTTTTCCCTCAATATTGTCATTAAATAAATATAGTACAATCAGTAAAGCTACTGAACCATCATCTGTTTCTAAACAGACTAAATATGGACCTGCCAGAACACACCTATAATTAAAAAAGAAGCAGAAATTTATCAATGTTTTGTTTATTACACCATATATAATTCAGACAACACAATATTCAACACATATAACATAATGCTCGACTCAACGACTACTACTAACTCGAAACTCAGTCACTCGTAATAAACATTCACAAGCAATTCCCGCTTCTAAAAAGTTTTAAATATGTTTAAGTTTACAATATAATACATTTATAGCATATAAACAAAAATTCTTACTCTGTTGCTTCTCTTATAAATGGTGCAGGCACCTTAATTGTTTTTAATTTATCTCCTGTTTTACTATCGTAAGATGTTACTTCTACATTATTATAATAGTTTGGTAAAATATGATATAATGTTCCATCTTTTATGTACCACATCACATCCTTAATTCTGTACAGGAAAAAAATCTTATTAGTAACCTTAGTATAAGAAAGACATAAAATGTTATATGTATTATCTTTACTGATACTTTTGTACATAAATTATTTTGTAAAATATGATATAATTAACAAATGAAATATTTCTGAATATAAAATAAGGTTTTCCTATCCAAAATGTAAAAAGATTTCATATTTATAAAATATACACTATGAAACATGGTTGAAAAACATGATAATTTACATTAGTTATTTACTGAAGTCACCTTGTTTTTAAATCAAAAATTTTTCATTTTTTGTTGCATTTTGTTTTAAAGAAATATTTTGCAGATTTCTTTATACTGAAAGTAATTGATAAATATGGAACAACATAAAAGTAACATTAAGTATAATAACATTGCTGTGAGATATGAACCCCTAGTATATAAAAACATATTGCTGATTGTGCATTAAATAAGGATAAGGAAACCTGTTAGCACTATACAATCCCAGTGTAGAAAAGGATATAAATGGAGAGAAACGTCTGAAAACCAATAATTATGATTATATTTTATTGTATATACTACAATCTTTTCACGAGAACATAATTTGTGTTAATAAAACTATAACACATATTAAGATGTATATTTCTAAATATATGATGTGATTTTGTATTAAATAATATAAAAATTTTCTTTCAACAATCAAATTATTTAGAAAAGTAATTAATTTTCTATAACTTAAATATGCAATGTTAATTCATTAAAATATGTAGGATTAAAATGTAATACTGACCTATCAGGATTTTGTTCAGCTATTGGCCATTCATGAAGTATATGTCCAGTAGCTAAATCCCATGCACGAACAATAGCTGGTACACCTCCACTTACAGAAATAAGATCTCCATCTGAAATTCCACCTATTGCTCGAATTTGACCTGCATATCCCTTTTCCAATACACGTCTCCATAATATTTGTCCTAAATAAATAAATATACACTTTTATATTTAGTATTTATATTTTTATAATTTTACATATATGACATAACAGGATCATGTTGCATTAACTAAATAATTATAAAGATACTTTTAATAAATTTGTA